AGAGAGAGAGAGATCATATATATGATAATATATACGTGTAGTACTGCTATATATATATTAATATAGTGTATTACTTATATATATATAGTATATCCACAGGTGAGTAACGTATATACGTATAGGAATAATGAACAATAAAATTACTTTCAATAAAGGATAATTCTTGATAAATCACACTGCACTATACTGTCAATGCAAATTGCCAACAAACCAAGCACTGTCAACTTCCTCAATTAAAGCTAAACCAACTCACTCCATCATTGACGCATCTTTGGTGCGCAGGATGTGGTCTGTTAGGATCCAGGGCATGGACATCTCAATGGGGAACTGCAGGAAAAATGTAATCCTCTTTTATACTTTCCATTCATATTAGAAAGTAAATAATCACCCCTAAAAAAGCAAAATATACAAATAAAACTTCCCATGACAGGTCAGATCAATGAATGCAAAGTAGCCTTAACAATCTAGAACATAATGCTTCACAAGAGCAGAAGTCTGGTTAATTTGGGAGAAAATAATGGATATTCTTTCTTTTTTCCCCCCCTTCCATTTACTTCTAATTTCCTTACATTAATGGAACGCTCAAAATATCCATGACGCCAAACAGCATCTTTTCATGAGAGACCTTTAAAATAACCTGAAATCTAAATCCTGATCTCTGACCTCTGATCTCTACCCTCTCAAGGAAGGGGTCGTGTTACTAATTCACAGCCATGTTAGGGTTAGTTAGATAGCTTTATGGAATGAAAATTATCATCATTAGTCTTTTTAACTTAAAAGTTTAACTGATTTAATTATCAATTTGAAATTATTGTAGAATTTGGGAAGTAAGATTAGTTATCATAAAAAAGTACTTCCTGTATATGCTTCTATTTACAAAAGCTTTGAGAACAAGAAAGCAGAGAGAGCTTCAAGTGCACTTCCACATATTGGAACCCCAAAACAATACCTAAGGATACACTAGTGACTAACTATAAACATTCTTTTTTTTCCACAGAAGAAATCCAACATTTTGAATAATTCCAAGATTGAAGAGAAAAAAGTGCCATGCTTTTGCCATATATTTACATAACAGCTCTCTAAAAAATCACTGAGCATGAAAAATATATAAAAAAGAAAAGAATCACTAAGGAATGTTTTTTTTTTTAAGATAGTGATACCTGGCATGAATACATTCAAAGCAAAATTTGCACAGTTTACTAACTAATATACATATATTTTCTTTTTCTAAAACAATGATATTATGTGCCTTTCCATTATTCAGAAAGCATACAGTACTTCAATTCAATTATACTGTGACATTTTCCAAAATACTGCACATTACAACATATTCAACATTACACTGATATCTCTCTAAACATCCTATGCATATCAGACATTAATTAAATATAAACAATAATTAATCGCTTCTTTACAATATTATTTACAGGGCTTATCAAAATCGTTTAGCATTTTCAAATTTATCTTTTCAGCAAATTATCTTGAGGCACACTCACAAACAAACATTAGAATACAGTTGATAACTATTTGTTACCAGACAATTAGTTATATATTTAATGTGGTTAGAAGCCAATTAGTTAACAAGCAATACACGTACGAACCGACTGTTCAGTGGCATTCACAGTTATCAAATGACAAAAGGTCTTGCATTACAAAATCACATTACTTGACACTGATAACAACGTTAATATTTAAGTACATGTAACCCACTGTGTATTCATCTTTTTCCCTTTGTCTTAAAGAAAATCAGTACTATCAAAAACTTTCCATATGATTTCATTGTACATTTATGCATGAAATTATCAAAAAATAATATCATTGTTCAAAATGGTACTGTCAGGATTTTTTCAAAATATTTTCATAGAAAAAAAGCATGGTTTTCAAAAACTTTCCATATGATTTCATTGTACATTTATGCATGAAATTATCAAAAAATAATCTCAGTCTGGGAGAAAACAAACATTCCTTCATGTCCTAAAAAATGAGAACATACTTAGCCATTCCAGTACATCGAAAATTCAAATCTTTGTATCACAAAAACCTCTGGGGACCTGAATAACTGTTATCAAAATATTTTTGTAGCAAATGAATAGTAATAAAAAAGTATATATAAATCACAAAAATCAGTAAAACTAGACTTTACTTTGGCTTTAGCATATTCACAAACTAACACATTCACCTAACTGCATATGGCATTTTGTGTTTACACATTTTTTCCTTTGATAACTGAAGAGCTATGTCTCAGATGCAAACAAAAAATAACATATAAGAAAAGGAAAATCAAACAACATATCGCATAATGAACCTGTCACTGACAGTCTGCCACAAATGAATTTAATCTTAATTTTCTAACATCAATTTCACTAACTTCACTAATAATTACCAGCCTAAGGTGTACTGACCGATTAAAACCAAGACTGAGAGAGCTTGAGTATTCACAAAAATCAGTGCACTGTGGCAATTGTATCTCCCCATCACTGTTCTAGTTAAATTGCAGTATATATACACACGCACACAACCTTGAACTTGGAGTTGTGCAATTACTATGTTCCTAACAAAACAATTCTAAAGCCATTAAACCTAATGCTAGCATCTTTGCTAGTAAGCCATTAAACCCCATAGGAAAGCTAAACTATCTTTTAACAAGAAATGGATTTTGAGACTCACTGACACCTATACAAGCTACTAAACTTCAGAGATAAGAAATTCCCAATGTGGATTTTTTTTTTTAAATCTTAGATCATAAAATCATTATAACGACTACATTTAAGAAATACCAGTGAAATTATCTTAATCTGGTCATCAATCAGAATTACAATTATATATATGTATTACACTAGACCCATAATTTTGAAAATATCCAACAACTATTCATTCTTTCTTACTACAAACTCCCTACAACTATCAAATCTATGTCTCCCTAAACTTTTACCAATCTCATAATCTACAATACATACCTCTACATCTACGTCATCAAAACATCCTGAAAAACAATTGATATTACAAAGTACATGTATAACATTCCCTACCTTCTGCTACTAATTATCATCTAAAACATGAAAAAAACTTACAGAAATTAAAAAGGGCTAAAAATATGTAAATATCTAAAAGTTCCTCAACGATACCTTAAATCTCTCCACAAGCCCATCCGTCCTTATCAATGCATCAAATAAAACTCAATATGAAAAGTGCATTCAACGCTCAGTTTCCCAAATTCCCTCAATAAATAACAAAGAAAAATACACATCCAAATCCATTTATCATCTATCAATAGAAATCATAAGAACAGATACTGAAAATCATCAATAAAAATACTGTAAAACTAGTAAAAAAAAAAAAAGAAAAAATAAGAAAGAATCTGAATTGCTTTATGTCCTCTCCATCTTTAATGCTTCAAGGATTATGACATGGGGCTAAAATCCCAAAATCCCAATAACTGACACTGGACATTCCACAGAGAAGCTCATGTCCAGAACTGTTGACTTAAAATATACACTGAAGATAGCAACAGAAAATTGTGGCATTCATTATGGCTTTTGTAGCAAAAGAGGAAGGTAAAAGGCATGAAGATGGGACCCTCAGCATCACAACTCCCAAAAATATCCTATTGTGTATTTTGTTTGAGTTTTCAAAGGACATTTTCAAAAAGATTCTTGGTTATAATAATCATCACAAGTAATGAAATCTGAATTTCCTTAATCAAAAAATAATTAAAACAAAATTTCAAAATAGTTTCATTAAATAATCTATTACAAAGTGTCAAACCCCGGGCCATTTTTAAGATAGTGTCAAGTAGGAGAGGTGTCTAAGAAAAAGTGCAGTAGCCCTTCTTTCATGATACTGGTGTTCTGAGTCCAAAGATTGAGTTTTTACGCCTCATGTAATAACCACTTTAAAATGATTTCTCTAAACATAACCAATTTGTTGGTACTAATTTTCTTTCACTAAAACACTAGAAAAATCAAATCTTCTCTGCACACACAAATATCATACAGTACCTTTTACATCATATTCTACTTTTCTACTCTATTTACCTCAACCAAGTACTTACACCTGACACAGCCAAAGGAACTGCAAAGGTCTGTATATCCTTAAAATACAGTGAGTTTGGCATACTTACAACATGTTTGTAATCAAGTACAGGATTACTTATGAACGACACCACTGTAAGATGATCAAGGGATAGAAGGTTACACTAACAGTGTTTTAGTATCCTCTACATTCCCTTGATATTACTTATAGTAAAAAATATATATATACCAAACAAGAGAGAAATAAACACAATGATTGTGTGAGTGTACACCACATCTCGACCATGATCCTTCTTCTAGGTGTGTCCTAAAGCTAGCCATAATATGTGCACCTGCTGTGGTTCTCTGTATGTATGGTTAATACTTAAAATAAGAAGCTCAGTAGAAGTACAGATAGTTAATGCTCTATACTACTTTGAGTGGTCATACGTTTTAACAATATCAAATAAAACTATTACATTCACAAGCTGAAAAAACAGCACAGCATAGTGAAACCAATACAGGAAATCATGTAGGGTACAGATTTAAAACACAAGGCTAATGGTTCTTTGTTGACTGGGACTATCAGCTTGATTTCCATTCTTAAAGTAGTCAATGAACAGAGGATTGTCCCAAGCAACAAAGACCTTGTCACTCCACAGAGCAAGAGAGAGTCAAACTCATCTGCAGCAACCCATCTGATTTCATTTTGGTATTTTGTTATAATTCTTTTACTGCACACTGTGTAGTGACTAAAGAAACTAAATATATACTAAAAAAATAATACATAAACAATGATAAACAAATGACAGAATAAATAAATCACAAATTTTCAATGCAATTACAAAGGCAAGCACAACAGGCACAAAAAACACAGGCACAACAACCAGGGAACAAGACAGACGTGAGAGAGGGCGATACCTGAATGCGCTTGTCCATCACCACCAGATCTTTGCATTCCTCATTGTGATGGTGCTCCACAGTGCACTTCTAGGGACAGTCAGGTGCACCAGAGAATAGTGAGCAAATGAGGTCAAGTAAGGTAGGAGAAAGCTACCGTCAGAGAGGGTGGAGGAGGAGTGGGTGCAGTACCAAATCAGGGGGAGAGCAACGGAGAATGACAGAAAAGGAGGCGACTGACCCATGTGAATGGTGATGAAGAGGGGCTGGCAATGACAGACAGCAATGAAGATGGGGTCAAGGGAGTGAAAACATGAAGGAGGAAGGAGAAGAGAGGACAGAAAGGAGCCTTGTCCAAGACTACAGGTTAGGATCATGTAAGTCATGAAAGGGTCATTTGTAGATAAATTTAAAGTGAAAAGGAAATTTGTCTATATTCATGTTGGCATTAAGATGGGATTAAAAGAAAATCTAGGAATAAGATTTAAAAAATAAGCCATGTCTGTGGAGTAAATAGCATGTAACCTAAGAGCTTCATAATAAACAGGGTAGGACATCTGAACCTTACAGGTGAGATAATGAAGACAGTATCCAAATGTTTCAATCACAAAATTTAGCAAAACACTGAGGGCTACTGAAAGCTTTAAGTATTATTTAAAAAATAGGGAGATGGAGGAGGTGTGTATATATAAAGATAAGAGAGCACACATACATAATTAACCATCTATGCATCAATACTATAAAACAAATATTTCTTTACAGCAAATTACTGCTTCTTATTGCTCTGCTTTCATAATGATAGTGTATATATTAACAATTTATCAAAGGGTTAAAGAGAAACATGTCCTAAGATAATCATATTTAAGAAGTTTTTGTATGACAATAGCAACACTGATCATTGTTTAAATATATTAGCATCAGGGTATCCTACCTGACAAAATTACTAAATTGAAAAAGGAACAAAACATCATTAATATATATTTACATATATCCACATTATCTGACAGTGATAATAACTATAGCACTTGTAGTCATACTAATTACTGCATCTCATTGTACATATTATCTCTGAATTTCACTGATACATCTCTTGTCTTGGTATACATTTTGAGGCAATTAACAAGGCAGATAATGAACAAAAGTATTTTTTTATATAGTTGTCATCTATTTATTTACTAACTGTTGCTGCTAGATTTATTTTCACTGCTCTTAGGTTCCTCAAACATAAACTGGCATGTACACATAAACAATTCATTTTCCTCTAGCATTCATAATTCAATGATTCTTTAACTGGTCTACAGGCATACACCACCAAATCATCACAGCATATTCTTCATTCTTTTTCATTTTGCAAGAGAGACTATTAAAAACTATGGTTTTCTCTAATGCCAGATGCAAGAGTATTTACACTTAGTACTCATGACCATGTAAGTTCAAATATATTAATGGGTATACACATGTGCATATATGAGTGTGTGTGTGTCTGTGTATATTAGCTTGTAAGTGCTTTTGTCTATGATCTCATATCAAAGACTTGTATGGAAAATAAATATTGCATATACATTTAATTCCTATACTGGTCAGCTTTTTCATTTGTTTAAGTGACAAACATTAAGCAGACCCTCTCAAAGGTCACTGAATTATTCTTATATTATGTAGTATTTCATATTATATCAAACTATGAGTCAATATGTTCATTTTTATTCTTAGCTTCACAAAGTTTACTATGTCTTTGTCACAATGGATTCTAAATGACCTTATGCACTAATACATAATCATATTGTTTAACTCTGACCATGCTGTTTGTATATTAAAGGTTTAGACAGAAAAAAAACAGTGAATACTGCTAAGAGTTGTGCAAACATAAGCATACAAATTCATACAATTTCCATGTCTTGGCAAAACTTTGTCATGGTAATATATCCAGTCATTAGACTTGAGAAACACTAACTCAGTGGCCTCGCAAAATGTATTCTACAAAAAAATTGTGGCGTTCAAAATTAACTTGCATGAAGTAAACAATCAGGATGCAATTATCGACAAATATGATTGAAATGAAGTGTTTAAAGAAGGAATATTTGGAAAGTAATTACTGGATGTGGTATGGTTCTGGGCCATATAGATCCTGCTAATAGCCATGTTCATAGTCAAAGCACACCTATCTCTTGGATTTTTCAATTCCCACTTGAGGCCACACCAATTTCATTTGTTGCTTCTCAGATTCATCACTTCAATTTCTTGCATTTATTATTATTATTATTATTATTTTTTTTTTATCATCATCATTATTATTATTATTTTTGTTGTTGTAAATATTGCTACTATCTGAGGCACAAGCTGCCAGAAACCAATCAGAAAGCTTCTTTGTAGTCACATGCTAGAGGACAACTAATCAGGAAGTGTCTTATCTTTCAAAACAATTAAGTGTGTTAAAGTTTTTTGTGTGCCAGTGTGTGCCACTATAAACTCTAAAATTAAATTAAATTACAGTCTTAAACTATAAGTTTACTTAAGTTAAGAGTTTAGTTGTCGAGTAGTTTATAGAGATTGTATACAGTAGAGCAGATCTATGTTTTCTTTGAATATATTA